TGGCTGGTATCAAGGAGAGAATTGGAAGGGTAAAAGTGCGAAAACTTTGGGTTGAGGTAAAGACAAATTAATAAGAAAAAAAAAAGCGCGGGGGGGGGGGGGACGGCAACAAAGAAAAACAAAACCAAGAAAAATGAGTGATGCAAAAAAAGCAATAGGTCATCACCAGGTGACCGATGCCCAGCCAGTCCCCAGGCAACAGCAGGCGAACTTCCATCCCCCCAAGTTTTTATTGCTGAGCACGACATCATATGGTATGGGATATGCCTTTGGTCAGTTGGGGTTGGCTGTCCTGGCTGTGTCCCCTCCCAGCTTCCTGTGCACTCCCAGCCTGCTCACTGTCCAGGCAGTGTGAGAAGCAGAAAAGGCTTTGATGCTGTGTGAGCACTGTTCAGCAATAGCTAAAACATCCCTGTGTTATCAAAGCTGTTTTCAGCACAAATCTAAAACACAGCTACCATGAAGAAAATTAACTCTATCCCAGCCAAAACCAGTATACCTGTATAACAAAGGTCTTAGACCTTTTCAGAGACTTCTTTGAAATGATGATGGTCTGTACAAGTGTAGATGAAATGGAAAGTTATGTTGAAACTAGTGTACATGACTCATTTTACCTGCTTTGTGAAACGGTTAATGCATTGTAAAACTGCAAAATAATGCATGTCTTTGATCGGCTCTATCTTCTCTGTGCAAAAACCACATATATTTCCATCAATTCTGTAATAGAGTTCTATAAAGAGGTCTTCTTCTGGAGCTGTGTGTGAATGTGAGAGTTCAGGAGGGATTTATTTTGTTATTTCGGCTGCACTTTATTTAAGAATACTAAATATACCCCAATTAATTCCATTTTAGGACACATCATCCTTGCAGTGCTGTAGAATAATCTGATCTATTTTCCGTAGTAGTTCTGTGTTTACATCACAGGTAATATAGAGGAAGACTCTGGAAGCTGTAGTCCTTTTCTACAGTCCTCTTCCCCTGTTACAGCATCTTACAACCTCTCTTACTCTTCCTTCACAAAATGAATGGTGATGGTGAGATAATAAACTTTTCCAGCTCTTGGATCCTCTCCTTTGTGTTTTTGGTTGTGTGTTTTGGAGAGAGGGAGAGCAAAACAAGGAAGCAGCCTATGTTTTCAAGCTTGAATTCATTTTCCTTTTCTAGCTAATCTTTAGTTTTACAGGGATTACTTTTTCCTCTTTAAAAGAATGTATCAGTCAGTGTTCTGGTTCATCTGTCTTTAACAGATTATTTATCTAGCATGAAAATTGTTAGTTACCTTCATTGTAATCTCTTTTTCTGCTGATAATACTTCTTGAATTTTTGTATGCTTACTACTGGATGTGGTTGTTACATGACCATGAAATTGTACTGTGATTAACTTGTGTTTTGGCGTGGAGAGCAGAGGGAGCAATCAGACAGTGAAGGAAATTAGGCTTTCTCTGTTCTCAAGGGGAAAAGTAAAGTTTAAGTCTGCTGTCTACTTCATTCATAGTAATAGTATCATATCATGTGCTTATCTGCCATTTAAAATATTTTAGTCTTCTAAAATAATTGATGTTGGCCACTATAAGAACCTTGCATTTTATTTAACAAAGGTTATAAAATCTGTACTTGCACATTAATGGGCTGATGCAGTGCTGCTCAAAATGGTAGGAACATTTAATTAGATTGACACTTGCATAAGCTTTTTCCTTGTAATTGTACTATACTACCTTCAATTAGAAAAATTTCTATTTTCTGATATGAATTGTGAGCTGTTCTGAAGACAATCTCTTGTAGTATTTTAAGAAAGAACAGTGATAATTTGTTAAAATATCAGCAGCGCAATGAGGGCTCTAGGCAGCTCTGGTTGGATTTTTGTATTATTTTGGTAACCTTTGCAAGCACTGTTTCAGTTTACAAAGCAGAGAATAGTTTCAGAGATAATCTGATGTAACATCAAGATGACAGCTAGCTGGGTTTGATACATTCTTTTAGTTCAGGAATAAAATGAGTTAGTGCAAAGCAGAACCGCTGTTTCTGGTCTTTCTTTTCCTGAATGTTATTTTATGTTTGTCTGTTTGCCAGGGACTGTCTTTGTTCATGCAGTGCTTTCAGCTCAAGAAATTTGCTTAAGCATACAGTTTAACCACTGTTTTGGAACCTGTAAAGTTGACTAGTGTCGTGGTTTAACCCCAGCCAGCAGCTAAGCACCACACAGTAAGCACTGTAGCAGCTACTAGGAAGACAATTAACTCTATCCCAGCTGAAACCAGGACAACTAGACTGTCTGAACACTCACCTACTGTCACATCTGCTTTAGGTAGTGCCGGAAGAATATTTGTGCTTAGGACATATGCTGTCTTTTACTGGAAAAATACTGTTGTTCTTGGGGAGATAGAGAGGGTGGGGAGCTGAAAACTGGCTTGTTTGTACTTCCTTAAGCAATTTTCACACTAATTCAGTACTCACAACTGTTTCTATTCTGAACAATGAACAAGTTCCACTATAATTTGCACCTTCCCTAGGGGGGAGTAGTTAGCCTCAGGGGCTTAGTGTTCCAGTGGCGTGGAGGAGGCTGAGAACGGCAACCAGAATTGGACATGAAATGGAGCTTCGCATTCTGTTTTGTTTATAGCAGTAGTCTGTAATCATTCTTTTTCTAGAGTTGTTTGTTGGTTTGGTGTTTTTTTTCCCCTAGCCGAAGTACAAAATAACTTGTAAATGCACAAATCTTTGTGTTGTCAATAGAGTAGTTGACTCCTGCACCTAATTGATCTCAAGTAAAACTGTTAAATAAGCTGAAACAAACACATTAGTTTACTAAAATCTGATAAAATTGTAAACTGAAATTTGTGTTATAAGTTGACATTGATTGCTTTATCTTGAATTGAAATATCATCTTTCTTTATATTAAATACCATAAAATGGGTTATAATCTTGAATTACAATTTAAATATAAAACAGTAGAAATGTTTGTTAACATGACTTAAGTTAATTTTATAACTAAGTGGTTTCTACAATTTGTATGTTAATCATTTTAAACAAGAACTTAATATATTAAAAAAGAGGATTTAAAGTAGTTTTAGTCACTCAAACTAATTCAAGTTCAGTAAGACACGACTTCTACTTCCGTGTTGGGTGTCTGCCCCCCACCTTTTTAACGACACTACTTTTAACATCTTGTGTCATTTTGCAGGCAAAATTTGTTAATTGCCATTATTAATGGGATTGCTATCTGAGCAGAGCATTAGGATTACCTTAGTTTCTGTAGTCTACTGTGTTTCATTCTGTGTTCAGAATAGTTGTGTACTGGGTGAGAATCTGCTCAGTTTTGTTGCTTTAGTTGGAAACCTTGAACTTGGAAGCCATTTGGCAGTTGTATCTGTTGGTTGATAATGTTGTTTGTTGGATAGACTTCAGAGCATCTCGGAGAGGAGAGTTCCTGGATGTGAATGCTAAGGTGGGAGGTAAAATAATGAAAGGTATGAAGATGGTGGAAGGGAGGAAGAGAGTTTCTTCTTCTGTTGGATCAGGTGTTTGTCTTCAAGCGAGTAAATGTGTCAAGTGTCATAACCTGGTAGGAAGGCATATTTTGCTGAAACATTGCTAACTATAAGACTTGCTGTTGTTGTTGTTGTTGTTACTTATTGAGGAATATTGAATATCTGGTATACAGAATTATTTTCATGTTTTGTCTAGTCCTGGGTAACACAGATTTGAACCACTTCTGGACTAGCTGTTTCTTGGATGAACCACTGACCTGCTAACCTCTGGGTTTTACTGGAGGTAAACAGGAGCATCAGTCATATCAGAAATAAGACTTAGATTTTAGGTTGACGTGCACTTCTTATGTTCACTCTTCTTGATGTTGAGCAAGTCGATTAGTAAACATATTTGATACCACTGATTTGTGATAAAATACCAAACTTAGGAACCTGTGTTATGTAAATGAATCAGTATGACTCTGTGAAATGGTAAATGAAGGATAGGAAACAGATGAAGTGTGCTTTTGCTGTATGGGAGCTTAGTGCTTAGTTAGAAATACTAAATTCTTTTTTTTTGTCAGAATCAATCCATGCCACTAGTTTAAAGCTTATACGCAAAAATCAAAGTAAAGTGTTGGGTTTAGTTGACGGTGGTTTTGCATGTTTGAGCAGGACTTGACGTTAGAATGGATTTCCTGAGATGATTTCTTAAAACATACAAACATATATATTCATACTTGATCCTGTACATTTTATTTCAAGAATGTATTCTGACAACACCGGAAATCCTAGTCTTTATGGAATTTCCTATGATTTAAGTGTGCTAAATAACTAGAGAATACAGAGAAAAGTACTCTTGAAATTGAAGATGTTTCATAAAATTAGTTTCAGTAATTAAAAATTACTTTTAAAATGTATTGTAAAAAATTACTTAGAATGTCTTGTCAACAGCATTAAACTATTAGTCCTTCTGTTTTAATATATTTTAAAGTAGTATGAAATAGAGGCACTACAGACTTTTTCTTCTTCCCCTCTGGTCATTACTGTGGTGTCTAACACTGTTTAAAACCAGAGATAATTATTAGTCATCAAGGTTTCATGTAAGAATCAGCAATGGTGGTTTCTTTATTGGTTTTCTGTATAATCCACATTTAATAAGCAGTATGTCCTTTATTGATAGATGTGTTTTCCTCATTATTTCTATATCCATGAGCTGTGAAAAGAGCTTGCCAACGGCTTGGCAGAAACATTCTTGGGATGTGGTGTTTAGCTGGCATGACGGGATACAAATTTAAGTATTAAGTTTTGAATATAGATTTGTAAAGTAATTTTGATAGTTTGCAAACACTGCAGGTGAAGAGTAGAAGCTCTTATGAAACTGCTTATAAACATGTATTTTCTGTTTTAAACTAATCTTGATTTCAAATATTTGCCTAAATAGTTTTGCTTTCCGAACACTCTCAGTTATTTAATTTTATATTTGTGGTTATGAAACCATTTCCATAACTATGCCTTTGTTTCATTTTACAGAGGAAATAAAGGCTGAAACAGAAAAGCAAAGGTATGTGATAGTTCATCATATTGAGTGATAGTGCTTTTAACTGCTTAAAATGTATACCATGCTTATTCTGTATTGGGAGTATGGGCTCTCTCTGAAAAGCATTTTCAATATATTTTGTAAGGGTGGTGGTATCTGGAAATGTGCTTCTGTGACTGGCTGTTGACGGTACAAGGGACAGGGCCTGGGAGTAGAGACAGAAGATAGCTTGGAGGGAGCAGGCTGATATTGTCTGGCCAGGGAAGGTGGGAATGGGGATCAAGGTTAGAAAAGGTCTTTGTGGGTCGCACAGAAAGAAAGTATTGGTGGAGGGGCCTGGGCTTAAAAGGCTCTTGAAGTGGGTTCAGAGGAGTGGGAAGAGCCTGGCATGCAAATAAAAGACTTGAACTGTGAGTGAGTAAGGGGAAAAGGTTGGGGTGAGGAAGTGGGAACAGGTAGAAAAAAACTAGTGTAATTTGAAAAGATAGCATCTGGAAAGGACCTTGTTAGGGAATAGGTGTAGATTTCTGGAGGCAGTCCCTCTACAAGTGAAGGTAGAAGCCAAAATTGACATTCAACACTCTTCCACTATCAACAAATACATTTTTAAGTATTGGTAAACTGTGGAATCTATTATTAGTATTTAATGACATGTTCCACAGGATCTTCTTCCTCATTCAGTGTATGTTGCTAACCACGAGTCGAGGATTTGTGGTGAAGACTGTTTATACCACTTGTTCAAGGAATCAGATCAGTAGGTGAAACTGATGATGAAAGTGTTCTTAGGGCTTAAGCAGATGAGTGCTGCTTGGGGACTTGCGTTCTGCCCTGTAATTGAATTTCTGGTTTAGGCAAATCATTTAAACCACAGCTGTCAAAATTGGCTGCTAATGATTTCTCCTTTGTCTCCTGGGTATTTGAGCTGAAATCTACAAGTTTTGGTTTGGAAAATGTAAACACTTCTAGCTGGAAAGGAAGCCAGTGGAAACTTTGTTTCAGAAGATGTGAAGGACAATTTAGTATCAAATATGCTGAAAAATTTAGTCTCACAGCTTATCAAATTGGGCACGTAAAAGTTAGTGAATGCATCTGACTCGAGTCACTGTGCTTCAGTTTCCACCAGCAAAATAAAGTCAATACCATCAACTCATAATAAAGTTGTAAAAATAAATTGAATATTTGTGTAGTGTTCAGAAGATGTTGCACCAAGCACTACAGGACAGTCTCAGACAGAAAGTAGTAATGTGGTTTTATTATAGGTTTTACGTAGAGTAGTATAGATAAAGCAGAAGTCCACATTGTGAATCATGATCAAAAGTGCTTAACATTAAACATTCTGTGAGAGATATTTGTTCTGGGCACTGAATAAGGAAAAGTAGTATCGGATCCTGTAGCTAAATACCATGCTAAAACTAACGAGAGCACTGCATTATAATGATTTATACAAGTATGGTTCAGCCATTTCTGAACTTTGGGTGCTTAAATTCTGTCCTATTAATATCTGAAGTTGTGATTTTGGGGGGGTATAATATGTATGTCTTACCTGCCTACATACATTTTCTAAATAGGTTTTGATTTCTTCATGGCTGTCTTTATTTTGACAGTAGCCTTGCTGCTATGAAGGCATTGCTGGACTTGGAAACTGTGAATAGATTTCCCTATTCTTACTGTAGAGTCAAATTTTTAGATGCAGTAGAAAATACTGGGTTTTTTTCTAGGCCTTAGAATAGAGAAACTCCTTAGTGTCTCAAATTATTTTCAGCTTATTTCTGTAATTGAGATTTGAATACCCTAACAGGGGATTTCTGATGATAATTCTTTAAATTTTTCTAGTTCCTGTTCAAGGAAACTGATCTCACAGTTAACCTGGAGTGCATTGGAAAACAGATCATTTCCACCTCCCAGAAATCTACATGGAAAACGGCTTCTTCTGTTTTGTTGTTTGTTTGTTTTTTAAACAGAACTGGTGTTTGGTAGTGGGCAGGAATGGAATAGAAAAGGACAGGCCAATTTATGTAACCATTACACAGCAAATGCTGTCAAAATAATTTTAAAAAGTCATTGTTTGATACATACCATAGCCTGTTTCTATGGTTGATATGTAAATATCAGCATATTTCATCATTCTCTTGCTTGGTAGATCCCTTGGTGGAAGAAAGTTTTGTTGGGGACAGTTTCTGGTTTGACAGTCTGCTAGAAAAAAAACAGCTGAAGTGGTTTCTTTGCTGACTTTAAGAAGAAAAGACCTTTTGGTTTTCTCTTCTCCCCTCTCCCTGCTATCCCCTTCCCTTCCTTCATCAGCAAGGTGATGAGCTTATTGAGTTATCTTTCCAGAGACAAATGGAGCATCATCATCCATACTTATTATTTTGGGTGGTTTTTAATAGCTTTCAATTAAGAGAAGCTTCAGGCTTCTGCAGTAGCTTGCTGTGGCATGGTTTCTTTATTTTCGGGATCACATCATGGCCTGCTCCTTGTTTCTGAAAAATTCTGGTTTTATTTTTGGAGTGCTCTTTTAACCTAATATTAATGGTTTCAATAGACATAATCACTAGAAGAAGAACAGTCTTACAAGACATGAGCAAGAGATACCACCCTTCCATTCCTCAGAGAAAAGCTTTTGCAGGAATTTCAGAGAGTTTTAAGAACGTAGAAGAATCATGTATTTCCTCTGCAACTTACCTGATTTGGGTTTCATCCAAAAGAGCTGTTTCCAGCAAAACAGTATTGGGCAGTAAATAAAGTTATGCATCCAACAGAAAAACAGATGTCTGTTCTTCTTCAGGAAAAAAAATATGTAGGTATAAATCCCTAAACCTTCAAAAGAGAAGTTATTTAGTAGAAAGTAGCATCTTAACACTAATTATTCATTATTAAGTTAGAATTTAGGTGCCCTTTTCAAGCAGCCTAAACAAGGAGGACTATTTGAATGTGGTACCAAACATCTTCTGAAGGGCAATCCAGCTTGTTCCTTGAAAAGCTGAAATTAATAATTTATCATATTGGTTAGTGTAAGGCTCTCTCCATGATGCGTGGGACTGCGTTCATTCTTTGAGTTTATAATAAACTCTTAGCAGTTCATTCTTCTACTTCAGCAATATGAAAACTGTGTATTTTCTACCATCTGCATTCCTTAAAGCATCTGATTTAATTTGCGACAAATGCACAGGACCTGGATTTGAAATCAGTTGTTCTGTGAAGATCTATTTGAATAACTGCAAGAATTTTGTAATCCTTCACTACACAATATGCAGTTATGCTCTTTTTTTTTTTATAGCACATAATAAGTCTGTCTAAGACAGTGTAGTTTACCCTTTATGTAAAGATACCTATGTGTGCACAGAAAAAGGTCAGGAATGCTTTATATAATGGTGATGAGCTATTCTTTGAAATGAAAAATCCTAACATCTTGCTTTGAGTCAAAGGCAAACTGCACTGATGCACACAAATCAGTGAAAAATTACCCATTCTTAATTGTCCTTTTTAGCTAAGTATTAATGAGCATGCCCTTTCTAAAGGTGCTGTAAGCAATAAGACTTCAACCACTAATAATTTTCTCAAATTTTGTAGTTAGTCATTTCAGATACGTTGCCCAAGTGAGATGCAATGGTAACCAGTGAACTCTTAAATTCTGTGGTGTCATCTGAAGCACAGACAGAGCAAAGTTTGGGGGTTTTTTTCATTGGTGGTTAGCTGGTTGGTTGGTTTGGTTTTTTCCCCTGAGTATGTCCAGGATTGAAGTTTGGATGTTATTTATTTCCAAAATAGATGTACTTTCTCTGAAGTACTGAACCAAACTCATATCATAATACAGTAGTTGAGTAGTTCTTAACTTTCGGGGTCATTAAAATACTTGCTAAGTTGTATTTTTATCTGTTCCGGTAGTAACAGACTAGACTTCTCTCAGAGTTATCATTTAATGTGGAAATGATACCAAATAGATTTCCCTTCTTCCCCTCTGCCCTCACAAACCAAGTAAGGGGAGTCTTTTCCTATTTTCAGAGGAAACAAGTCTTTATGCCTTCAAACCAGCAGGGACCACTGAATATCCACTTGGTGTGCAAATGGGTCAATTTGCCTGATCCATAAAGGAGACAGATGAAGTATAAAAGCTGTTAAGAATATTTATACAACCATATTACTGTTGTGTTAACTTCACAGAAGTTACTCTATGTTACCCTGATGTTAATTTTCTTAATATTTTATTTCATTCATAAACATTGTGGTGGTGAGAACTATTTGTGTGATCACTTACAGCTTTCTAATACAATCATTCTGTTTAGTCCCCCTCATGGAGAAGCAAAGCCTGGTTCAAGCACTCTTCCACCTGTGAAATCGAAGACAAGCTTCATTGAAGCGGACAAATACTTCCTACCGTTTGAATTGGCATGCCAGTCGAAGTGCCCCAGGATTGTCAGTACATCTCTAGATTGTTTACAGGTCTGTATGAAGATGAGTTTTTAACTGTCAACTATAAAATTCTGTTGGTTTGGAGGGGAAGTACAGTTGTATGTAACAAATAATGTCATTGTTTTTCTATTATTTTACTTTATTGCACACACAACCAAATTGAATATATTTCTCAATATATTCACAAAAGGTGAATGTATGTCTTATGTATTATGTAGTGCATGTATGTGTTTATGTATATATGTAATACTGCAGTTACACATTTGGATCAGTTTTATTACATTAGTGTAAAACTACCTATTTTTGTGTGTATATGTATGTGTTGAACTAACACAGCAGGTATAGCATTATTAAATTGATTTTACACTATTTATAATTGCAGTAAAATTTATTCAATTTGAGATGTCTAGTCTCTCAAAACTCAGAGGTTCCTGTAATGTTTTCAGAACAAATTCTACAGCATTGGAATTAGGCATTCACTTCTCCTGAGTAGCCCAACAGTGAACTCTTAATATATTTACATTCACACGTACATGCATGTCTGGCATGCTGTTGCACTACAGTGCCTTGCTACTCTGTGTATTTTTAAGTAGGTGGGCCATGGAGATTTACAAATACTCTCATGCCTGAAGTGTTCAGAAGAGGATTTTGTTAATTTTGTAATAAATTCTATTTCAAAGTATTGAAGACCTAGGGAGAGAAAGGGATAATACAACACTAGCTAGTAGCTTAAATAGAAAGCCTTTGCAGCTGGTTTATCTGGTATTAAAAACATCTGTGTGCTGACTACATATGAAGACTTGTGTGATGTGAGTTAGTTTTTAGAATCCTGTTTGTTTTAGAACATTGTTAACTGATGAACAAAAGCTTTAATGTTAAGCTTGCTGACAAACCTTGTATTGTAGTTGCTGAGTGAAAATTGAATAAATCTGGAGGACATTTTAAAAAAATCCTTGATGTTTTATGAGACTTGGGGTAAAATGTACTGTTTTAATTATTCTGTGCAAGTTAGAGCTATCAAGTGAATTTATTTATTATAATGAAAAGCTGACTTATTTTTTAAGCTCTTATTTATGTGGGTTTTTTTCTTCTCTCCAGAAACTTATAGCATATGGGCACTTGACAGGGAATGCTCCAGACAGTACAGCTCCAGGCAAAAAATTAATTGATAGAATTATTGAGACAATATGTGGCTGTTTTCAAGGCCCTCAAACAGACGAAGGGGTTCAACTACAAATAATAAAGGTAATATGATTAATACTTCCAGTATTTATAGTGGTGACAGCAGGAAGACAATGTGGCCTCAGATTTCAAAAGTAGAAGCATTTAATTTGTAAATGTAATGGTAATCTTAAAATATTTTTTTCTTGATCCTGATTGTTTGAGATGGAAACTCCCTATCTTACGCTCCTTTCCCTACTCTCTCCCATTGCATTTTGGGTGAATTCTTGGTCGTGACCTGAAGTCTTGTGCACAGACCACTGGGTGAAATTTCATTCACAGCAGACCTGTGGAGCTCTCTAATTGTGAGGAATTACTATCAAATAATCCTGAACTCCCAGTGAGGGAGATGGTAATTAAGCAGCAGATTTTGAAATCCATTTTGGAATTGTTCTATGAAATGCAATTAGACCTGGCAGTCAGGCATTACCATGGTAGCTTTGTGCTGCTGTGTCATAGACTTTTGCTTGAAGGAGGTCTAGGTTTTCTCTCCATAGCTTGTATAAACGTTACACGTGGAGTTTTTACAAATACGTGTTTCTGGGGAACCTTAGCTGTTTTCTGATTGCACCCATTAATTATGGGTATTTATTAGGAAAATTACTATGCTAACTAATACAAGTTAGCCACCTACTGGAAATAGCATACCCTACTCCTGTAACAGTAGTCTCAATGGTTGTGATGATGAGCAGTAGTGAAGAATACAATTAATTCTGAGGAATGGAGTGTTTGTTACCTTGTATTCTTGTGTATATCCTGAGGTGTTGACATTTCTTGCAGATTGTATTTACTTTTTTACTGCAAAGAATGTAGCTTGTTCTCCTACTCCTTTTCATAGCTCAAATCTTCCTTTTTCTTGACACTCTACTTCTCCAGCAGATAGTGGTTACAAATGTTGGTTTATGCTGCTGTTGTCTAGATTTGTTGCATTGCTTTCCCTAAGCATTGAAGACATTTTTCATCTTGCAAAGGAAGGTTTTTGTTGGTTTAAACTTTCAGTGGCTGAAACCACTGTATCTCCCTCTCACTGTAATACCTTCTCTCTAGATGCTTTCTTATTCCAGTCTTCCCTGCCTGAAGGGGGTTATCTGTGAGCTTATATTCCTTCTGTCCAAGAAAATAGTAAATTATTCAACAATTGTAAAATGCATTAAGTGTGTAAATTCATTTAGTGCCCTAACTTTTTGACTGTTTAGACTTAGCTAATTGCCATGTTGGAATGTCTGGGACAGTGGCTTTGACTCCATATTTGTCCAGTACACTGGACAATATAAAAAGCATCAAAATTAGAAGCAACCTTAGCAAAGACCAGAAGTTTTTACTTCCTTTGGGGGAATAATGAAACTGCTAAGTTAGTTGTATTCTCTTCGGCTTCATAATTCTTCAGTTCTGGGCTGAGTGTGGACCCTGCTTCTCCAGTATGATTTGAAGGCTGGATCATGTGTCTTTTCAGACTCTTCTGTGGTCCTGGTGATTAGTATGTTGTCTGAAGAATTTTAATTCCATCAGGGAAATAGAAGGCAGGGGACCTGGGTCTCTTGCTTTCTGTGCTGGCACTCCTGGGCTATTTTTCACAACATGAGCAGTGTTCCTGCAGGGCAAGTGCATCACCAACACCATGGTAAAGTCTGAGAACCTTGATCATTCAGACACCTTCCTCCCTGGAGGGTTATCTCGGTTCTGCATGCTGAATGGAAGGCCCTTACATAGCATGTTGCCCTCAGTCTAAGATCTGGGAGCCGGCATAGGGTAAGAGTTCGTACGTGGTGCTGGTTGCTAGTTAGAGATGGCTTTCCAGTTGTGGAGTCATATTAAGCAGGTTCCCAACAAATGGAGCCACTTAGGTGTTCTGAAATATCTTTCTGCTGACTACCAAGGAAATAATCTTACTGAGACTGAGGAGTGTAATTTGTCTCTAGGTATTCAAGCTTAGAGGTGTGTCTGGTGGTAGTTCTGACGGTGGCCAGTTTAACTTTTCTGCCCCTATTTTTGCTTGCATGTTCTCATCTCTGTAATCCCCTCGTTCTTTATCTGTAGACTCTGATGAACCAGACTGGGAAATTGGCCTTTTCCTTCCTTCCTCTTGTAGGTTAGTTTGATTTGGTGTAATTTTGCTGGGAAGCCATGCAAATTCTTGTTCAGTTGTTATGGTGGGGATTGCTGGGGCAGAAAAAAGCAAGTAATTAGGCTACTGCTGCCAGTGAAAATTGTTTGTTCAAATTATGTTTGAAACAGCCTCCCTTGATTGAACCTTTTTGCCTTGAGGCTTGCTCTGCTAGGGCTACTATGGCATTTGTGTGTGTGTGCGTGCAAACTTACTGCTGACACCTACAGAGGTTTTAGCTGAAGTTCTGTTTACGTTTCTGTCTGGCCTTTTTGTTCCTGAAGAACTACAATTATGACAAAAATTGTATTAAATTTTTTTTTAAATCTATAAAGAAAGAATAGGGATGAGAAAGAAGAATGGGACATGAGATGAACTGTTTTTCCTCATCTGTGTTTTTTTTCCTTGGTCTGCTGTATAGTAAATATTTGTTATTATCTAGATACTTTTACAGCTTAACTTGCTTGTGTTTGGCAAAGAAAAATTTTTGTGTGTGCTTGATAGCTGTAGTTTGAAAAGTTTAATGTTATCTTAGTGACCGCTTTCTGAGTCTTCATGTGTAATGACTGTTCATCAGGTCAACTCCTGTATATGTCTTTTTACAACTAGTCACGCTGTCAGTATGACCAGTGTCCGTGGAGGAAGGAAAGTTGAATCAAATATTGCTTGCACAAGTTGCCTTTTGAAACTAACTAAAAATAGAGGACAACTCATTGTTGGATTACAGAATGGGAAGACTGTAAAAGCTAACTAATTTTGAGGCATAAGAAGAATGATGATAGGTTTGACAGAATTTTAACAGAATTTGTGTTAAAACAGATTCCAAATTGAGAAGACCCTTAGAAAAAACTTCTTCCATTCCATATCCAGTTTTGTTTCAGTAGTGTGGAATGCTATCTTAAGTAACTTAATAATCTGCAGTATCATGTAGCAGTGTGGTTAGTTTTTCCTACAAAAAGATTGTAGAAAGTGTAATTCCTCCTGCTGAGATTAAAAGGAGCTGTGGATTATGGAAAGATTTGAGAATGAAAATAATGATGCAGGAGGTTTTCTTTCTGAATCTTTGTATTTTGAGGCTTTCATCTTAAGTTAATGTCTAGGACTGGTTACTTAACCTGAAAATGCTGCCCTGTCAGTTAGCAATTTTATTTTTTAGAGAAGGATTATGTTTTCAGAGTTGGACATGAAATACTTATGTTTTGCAAAATATGTATCCATTTAATTCCATCTTGGATTCTAGTTCATTTTGAACACCTAACTTTCCAGTGATAAAACTAAATAAAACTTTATATTCTTTTATAATTTATAATCTTTATATTATCTTCTACAGGAGAAGCTGGAACTTAGTTCTGTTCTTCCTGCAATCTCCACAGTCATAATCCTTCAGTGTGTTTCAGGGCTGGTAACTGACCACATACTTGTGAATATGGATTATTTTTTCTTAAAATTGATTTTAAGTAGAAAAAAATGCTAGTTTTAATCAAATACTGAGTGTTAATTAATGATCCATTATTACTGAAATCTGATGTAGAATCTAGGATATGACACGATTTAAATCACTGTCTTGACTGTGAAAGCATGCTGGAAGCAAACACTGTGTTTTTTTCTATTTTTTCATACCCTTACAGTGTATTTCCGTAGGTCTTCAAAGCTGGTAAACTAAGTTAGGTAGATGTAGGTCTTCTAAAGCTGTAGTAAATGTATGACAGAAATGACTGAATAATTTGGAAATGGTAAAAAGCAGGAGATAATCTTAC